CTTTAGAAAAACTAGCTGGCGTCTATGTTCCCCCCAGGACACCAGCCTTATTGATGAAAAGGTTCAGTTTGAGTTCACTCTTTGCTTTTCCCCTATAATATTTTAATGAGTCTGAAATCAACTTTTTGACTGGATTCCATCATCATCTCAGATGGGTGTCAGCTAAACTGGACTTTTTATTTATTTATACAAGCTAAACTTGTTCATCTAAATGTATAAAAAAAGGTGAGAAAAAGGTCAAAACACAAAAGAGGGCATCAGAGCTGGAAGAGAGGGAGAAAATAAACCACAGAGCTCATAAACTCCTATTTCTGTGTGTTCGTACAAAATAGAGGGGTGGGTGTATTCCCCTGCCAGAAACGTTCTAGTGCAACCTGACTGCTGGCATTTTTCTAAATAGCAGCAGGTCAACAGGTTCCTGGCCCTGCCTTTTAGTCTTTATGCATTTACATAATGTAATACAGCTACCCACATCTGAGCAAATAACTCACTTCAAGCATTTCCCTTTTCCGACCAGAACTGTGCCCCATAAAATGTGACGGTGCGGATTAACATGACTCATGTGTTAAATGAGTTTCTGCCTTCCCTACTAAAAGCATTTCCCTTCATATTGTACTGTCGCTTTGAACATGGATTTGCTGATGGATTGCATCTGAAATGACCCGCGCGTTCAACATTTTCCAGCTTACACACCCTCTAACTCAACGGACGACTCCATGACGAGTCTCAGGTTTCGGCGGCTGTGAGGATTTCTCTGGCTTTCAAAGCACAGAAAACTCAAGACGGTCTCTCGAGAATTCAACAGACTGGAGACACCTGTTAAGCTGCTGTCAGGAAACTGACGCCTTCTCTCGCTGGTTTCTGATCTATTTGTCGACCATATTAGTTTGTTAACCATCGCAGCTCTCTGGGGAACGCCTGTCGCACTCGGCTTTCTTTCGGAGAGGACTTTCTGACACATTTGAAACTCATTTGTGAATGTAAAGTAGGAAAACAAATAATTACAGAAATTGTGCTTGGCTTGTTTTCCTTCATGGTGCTGGTTTCGTTGACACATCCCTCTCCTTTATCATTTTTAATGCTATAAGTAGCACCCGTGCTTTTCCTGGACACTCTGCTGGAAAGAAGGCCTACCGTTTGCGTGCTAACCGTTCTCTCTGGTTTGGTAGCCTGATGCCTACGTTACATACCATCTGCTCATCAGTGGGACCGGTTTCTAAAGTTGTTTTCACACATGAACACTAGAAATGACTGCAGAATGTTATCAGGTTGCTTCTTCACACCGTATCTTCGCAGTAGGAGATTCTTTTAGTGAGATTCACGTCCGCGGCTTTAAATACAATCCTAGGGTACAGCATGCACGAGGTAGGACACGTTGTTCCCAAGTCTGGTCTACAATACTGGGAACGATGAAGCTCCTTTTTCTCCACATAATGATTATTATTGCTTTGTTATTATTATCAGGCATATCTGCACAATCGTTAGCAGAGTCTTTTGGGCATTTTCATTCAGGAAAATCCTCATTAAACTTAAGGTGTGGGAGAGCGTTAATAAAAACGGCTTCTTTCATGGCGGGCAGGTTGGGGATTAGTCACATGTCTCAGTGCGTGGTGAAAGTGGCGTGCGCCTCCATTAGTGTCGGCTCTTGATGCTTTCGGCCACAGCTGTACATCATGAAGTGTTTGAAAGGTGCTTTGAGATGACTATATAATTAATTACATCAACCAGTCATTTAGAAAAGTAATGTGCTTTATATCTACGGAGATGCTTCACACGTCCAACCGTGAAGCCTTAAGTCATTAAATGGTCAGTGTTGACAGTTACATTAATTAAAAGTCATATCTGTCACCTGAGATGAACGTGAGAGGACTTGTCTGCATAAGACAAGGGGGGCATCTCTTGGGCATGCGGTACATGCCAATTTGTCCCTTGCAGGCTGATTAAAAAATGTGACGAAGTCTTTTTTTTGCAGCCTCCAGAAACCAACATGTTTCAGTAACCTTTGGACGAGTTTTGTGCTCAAAGGTAATTCTATCATCAGCTAATGTCAATGATGGTGCTGCTCCATGGAAAGGGGCCAGATTTTTCTCTGCAGGAAGATATTTTCTAGGGCTTATAACAATAAAGTTGTGGTTTGCCATGTGTATTTACGTTCACCCACTCAGGACGAGAAATTTCCCCTTTCAGACTCTCATATTGTTTTCGTTACACTTATGTTACATCTAATTCATGCTAAATATGTTATGGGCTTTCCGATGTCGCAAAAATGCTTCCAAATGTTATTTCGCATACCTTTTTTCTTCTGCAGGCCTTTTTTTTGGGTCTAAACATAGTCCTTCTTTTCATCTTTTTATACTTGAAATATCTTCCTGGCAAACAAAGTCAATAGTTTATAAGACCAAATCATCTTGTGCACTTTAAGTCTTCTGCAATGGATATTAATACATCAAATTTAGCCTTTGAGGTAAACCTTTGCTGGACAATCGGGATGTCTTCGGAGAGAGAATTAGCCCGGGGACAATTTACTTCATCACAGCGACCCGATTGGATTCTCATGTATCCATTTGTCTGCAGTGTTGTATAACTTTAGTTCAGGTATCTGTCTCTCTCTCTCTCTCTCTCTTGACTGTTTGTTCTATTTTGGGCCTTTATCTGTGCTCTGTTGTCTGCCGGCCCACCTTGTGGCTGCTGTGAGATATGTGACACAGCTACAGAGCCTCTACAGAAGGTACAGACAGAAAGGGCCGATATCTGGTGAGAAATGGACAGGAAGCTAGAGATTTGCCCCCCTCTTGGAACAGTGATGACTTCCACCCCAGCTCCTCCACCGCCTTATCAAGCCGAACGTTCAGCGCTTCTGATTGAACGAGCAGCGTCACGGGCTCTGGCAGGAAAAAGATTGTGCTGCTGTTTCTATTACATACTACACCCCCCCCCTCTCTCTCTGGTTGTCTGACTCCCTGGCTCTGAGCCCGTGCTGGTTATTTATTTGTTATGGACTTTTCGCATTTAAGCCCGAGTAGCTCATCATCGCAGCCGCAGAGTCTGCCGGTGGAAGTGGAAGCTTGTTTTCTCTTGCTGATGATTTATGGACTTCTGACGTGGTCTTGGTGCGCGCAGCAACAAGAAAAGAACAACACACTGTCATGTTGCTTTGTGCTAGCTGGATCCAGTCTATAACGTAAAGGGGCCTCGTTTCCTAAAGCGGCAGGAATATGCTTAAAACCTCTGGGAATGCACAGATCCAGAAACTTTCTATCTCCTGCTCAGAGGCTCTTGTTTGACCTGTTTTGGGTTGTTTCCTGTCACAGAAGCTACTCAAAGTACTGTATTGTTTTTGTCCGTGTCACAAAGAATCCTCTTCCATTGAAGGTTAAGCCAATAAAGATCAATATGTGATTAAATATTCAAGAATTGCTTGGACTTTTATAGGCTGTGTCATTTATGATCAGTTGATAAACAATGCGGTCTTTTCAGCCAACAGTTTTAAATAACGCTGTTATGACAGGAGCTCTTTGTGTCAAAAATCAATGCAAAAATTGCCTTTAACGGAGGTGTTCAGTGCTCATATAGCGAGAAGCAGGATCGTCTATGTTTGTAATAGCAAATAATTATTAATCAAACTCGAGTAATGTAGATATAAAACCTAACCACGTTGTTTATATGACAGATGTGGACCAAACCCGATGTGTTAAATGAGCTGATGGCCAAAATGAGCTGTGTTGAAACCTTTTTTATTCCAAACTTGTTGGTGCAATTCACTTATCATATAGTATTTAACTACAAATTTTTCATATAGCTGGCGATAGTAAATATATGACTTTATGTTGTATTAAAAACCTTAAATATATATATATTTTTTTAGGTGTGAAACTATAGACGATATCAAAGCAAACAGTGTGTGTGTGTGTGTGGATGCAACTAAAAAGGTGAATAATGGAAAATCATTTATTGAGTCATTATACATGTCACTAAAAAGAAAGTGCTCACAGATGTGCTCACAGTGGGGACTTATTGTTTTATATGTGCGGTTAATAGAGCCTGATGAGACCCCATTGTGATGAAACCTTTAGGGACCTATTGCTGATATGTATTTATATTAGAATATATACAGTGAAAACTGGGGGGATCATTCCTTTTAATTAAATAAAAAGCGTATTAGGCAGAATTACGGAGGGTGGGGTGGACGTTGGCATGTGGAAATGCATTAATGCTCTAATGGTAAAGGAAAATTTAATGGTGTTTTGCATTAATTTGATGGAGTTTTTTTTGATAGGCGCTACCTGGCTTATATATGGCTTACATGTGGCTGAACATCTGTGTGTTGGTGAATTAAATAAAAGATGAGGGAAGTGTGCAGGGGTTGGGGGGGGGCACTGCTGTTTAGACTATTCATGATTTGAGGCGTTAATTAGAGCCCGAGCAGCTTCTGTTTACATCATCGCATGTGGTCATCTCGTGGTTTCTGAATGGAGGCCGTAAAGACGTAAGGTTTAACATCGTTCTGGTGTTTGCGTGGTCATCTCTGAACGTCTACGCTCTGCTCCTCCGAGTCACACGGGCCGCAAGGGGAATTAAGGACCACTTTGTGGAATTAAGGATCCCTTCGTGGAACTCCGGGATTAATCAAGGATGTGGGTGATAAAAGTAAATTAGCAATGCATTCAGCCATTCAGTAAGATTTAGAGTTAAGCGTTAGTGAGCTAATGAAAGTAATAGTTCACCCTGGAATAACACCTTCAATTATTAGCATGCGTACCACCGTGTTCTTGGACTGTCAGCCCCCAGCTGGTGTTGACTTCTTCTACTTGTACAAAGGAATTTTTCTCTTCGAGAAGAGGGAAAATTTCCAATTTTTTTTACATTCCAAGTTACCTATCCCACTGTTATCTAAATGTTTGCTGGAGGGCTGAAATGGCACACTGCAGGAATCCATGCTGAGAACAGGAAGCTGTTGTCCCAGGGTGAAAGAGCATTCGCTTTAGTTCGAGTTAGTCTGGTTAGAAGCGGACAGTGATCGGGGGGCCCAGCAGCGCAATCCCCAACAGGTGAGAGTTCAATGGGGACGTATGTCCCTCCCCCTTACCCTCCATCTCCACACTGATTGGCTCTGAGTCAGGTGACCCTTGTTCACCCACAGAGGGGGGGCGATCAGGACCTGTACCTCTTTCAGAGTCACCTGCCTCCTTTGGAAATGCCGGCCCATGATAGGTCGTGCTGGCGCTTGTGGGTGTGGTCTTCCCTGCGGTTGTAGTGAAGGGGGGGAGGAGGAGGAGGGAGGGCGACAGAGTGAGTGATTAGTGAAATGTGAATCAGCCTGGAGGATCAACTTCAGAAAAATGTGGATGAGTCCTGAGTGGAGAGAAAAACCTTCACCTGTTAACAGCATGAGCTCAAAATGATGAAGAACATGAGAAGCATACAGCGCAAAAGCGGCAGAGGGAACACACCCCCCCCCCACCGTCTGTGGGCTTTTTGCACATTTCAAAGTTGTTCCGTCCATAGCTGCTAAACTGCCCGAAACATTTGTTTGTGGGCTTCAGTTACATGACAGCAACGTTACAGGATACATTTGCATAATTACACAAACACACACACAAAAAAATAAGATACCCTGTGTTGCATGTAACTGACCAGTTTAGGCAGATTGAACTCTTTGGGAGCAGGGCCTTAAAGGAAATGCAATACTAATCGATACTAATACAAACCGAATCAGGGTTTTGATTTTAAGTTGCTTTCAATTTCTGATTTGACAGATTTGCCACTAAAACCAAACTCCTCAACTGAATCTCTCATGGTCCTGTCATTGTGTTGAGAGAATGGAGCATAATTAAAACTCTTTATCAGCTGCTCCGGTGACTGCTCGAACAGAGGAGAGGACATAGGCGCTGCTGGCTGGATTTTTTTCTATCACCTCACCTCCAAACACAGTCATCTCTGGAAAGATGAGCAAACACGACCACGTGTGGAACGCCTGCGAACGCATGCCAAAAGACACGCTGGGCATTAACTGCCGCGGGCCTCGTATTATCAGACATATTTATCCTAATGGCGCAATCCGCATCTCGACCGCACGATAAGCCCTCTGTTGTCCTTAAATTATGGTGAGCGGCATGCTGCTATTGGCCCGGGCTCATATGCTAATGAGCCAGCCATAATGTTAGCATTCTGCAGAGCTCACGCTCGGGATGTTGTTCTCCCTCTCTCACTGTGAACCAGTTGACAGTGTTCACTGCGAATGAGGTGTCCTGTCAGTTCACCATCTGTGCCGTGCAAATTAAAACTGTACACCATAGGGCGCTTGGTTTTTTTGGTCCTGGCAGCCCGAACAACAAAGATCCCCGGCTCCGTCGCTACTTTAGCCGTCGAAAATTGTGTTCCGTTAAAAATGTTCGCATAGGATCATAACGCGCTCCCTCTGAAAAAAGAGAGGCCGGCGCTTGTTTCACACCATCGCCCGGCTTACTGCGACTGTGTGGGTGACAGCTTTGTTCGACATATGGGGTGTTTCATTGTCTAGGAAAGCTGATAATTGATCTTTAGTGGAGAGACTTAAAAGGCTTTTTGTGTGAATCAGTGCGAAAAAAAAAAATTAGACACACAAAATAAGAGGATCTGACTGCATGAGGGAGAACTTCAAACAGTGTTGTGAAGCGCCGGGGTGGTGAGAACCCCATAGGATTAAGCTGTAGGGTTGCTCATCAAGCCTAGCGACCAACTGAGTGGTAATTCTTCCAGCAGGGAAGCTTGACAGACGACTGAGGGACTGTGGAGCTCTAAGCCAAAGCCTCTGGCAAACAATGTGGCCTCTGTTCAGATAATAAGACAGAAATATGTAAATGGTTTTGTTGGGCCATAATAGATAAAATCTTCCTGTGTTAAGGACTCGGTGCTGGTAATGATTCCCATCTTGGATCAGCTGGGGCCATTAGCTCCACTGAAGCGCCAATTTGTCCGGTGTGGATCAGCTTCTGAGCAGGTCTTCAAATCGTCTCAGAAAAGTTGAGCCAAGCGCTTTCACCGTGTAGATAATAGCAAAATCAGACTGGCCATCAAACATCCGACCGAAAACAAATGACGCCTCTCGCATTGTTGGACGATCCAGCGCCGCTTGTCGGTCTTATCTGAACGATTGCCAGCTCAGTGGCGTTTTTACTTGTACTCCGGCCGTGCCAGGAGCTGCTCGCCTTGGCGGGCGGGGGGAGTAATGGGACGTGACAGGGATGATGATCTTTCTTGATACAGGGCATTAGGCATCTTGGCCAGCGAGCTCCTGGTCCATCAGACGAGCTACGCTCCCCGACAATGGCTTCAATGTTTAAACTGTCAAACTAGTTGAAAGGGAGAAGAAGCTCAAGCCCTTTAGCTGCTCTGATAAAAAACATCTGGAACCTCTGACATAATCTGAGCTTCTCCTCACGGCTAGGGATTAGGTGGATGTGCAAGTATGTGCACCTAGGATATCGAAAGAAGTACGGTCTGTTCAAAACCATGTGCCCCATTTCTCTGGATTTGCGTTATGACATTTGAAACATGTCCACCCAAGTTCTCATTCTGACAGTGTCGTTCTTAAGTGCAGTTCTTAATAAGGCAGACAGACACCAGAGTTGTAATCATCACTGTTTCACAGTTTCCTAAACCAAAGCCAGTACTTCTGAAACGTGAGGAGAAAGAAAACTAAAAAAGCTGTCCGTGCATCAGCGCGGAAATACAAAAGGAGCTTTTCTGAAAATCTTAAGAAATGAACCACATTTACTAACTGAAAGGAACTGAATTACAATGTGTGTGAACCTGTAAACGGGACCAAAGATGTAACTCTAAAGCATTAAACAAAAATAAGACAATTAAACAGATAAATCTGTAAACGGAGGTAGAAGAAAATATAGAAACATGCCTACTGACCATACGCTGAATCTAGAGCCGGGTTTTGCCTGCGAGTGGTCGCCAAGACATCTGGACACCACAAACAGGACAATATTAGGGTAACTGTTGAGTAACTTTTATTTGAGTTTAAAATTCAGTGCTTATTAAACTCCAGAGCAGGGTTTAAAAAATATGATCTAACACAAAATCACTTTTTAAAGGCTCTTCAAGTTGTTTCAACATTAACTTAGCCAATATTCTATCAGTAATAAATACAACAAATCTCTGAATTCTGATCCATTCAAGCCAAAATCAAATAAACATGCCGCTATCTAAATTCAATAAGACTCAGAATAAACAAAGGCTTCTATCTCACCGTGACAAGTATCAGGATGCTGATTGTAGCCGTTTTCCACGTCCTGCTCAAACCCGCCTCTGAAAACAAACAAAACAGATCACAATATATCTGTTAATACATTTGATCTCATCCATCCATTACTGAAAGTCAGTTTCTGACACAAAGCACATATTCCGTAGCTGGTTTATGTCGTTTTGAGACTGGAAAGTAAAGGTCAGAGAGTCTCTTCTTTAGGGCCCATGTAGTGGTCAGACCTCTGGGAAAAATCCGCCTATTGCTGTACACCATCCACTTTGTAGCCTGCAGCAAACCGGAGGAGTTAGCTTGTGAGGAGAAGTTGTAATTATCTTCTGTGGCTCCTTGCTTGTACCCCAGTTTTTCTTCTCCTACATCCATAAGATTTGTGCAAAGCACTTTCTGTCGCTGCGCTGCATTCCGGCGTATCAAGGTGACTGCTGGTGAAATTGGTACCTCCACTTTCCCCTTCTGTGCGATGAAAGCTGCGGTGTATGACTGTGAGATGTCAGTAACAAAAAGAGAAAGTCGGGGACAGGGTGTTGGCTGATGCTGAAGCCTGCCATTTGGCTGTAACTCGTAGAGACATTTCGCTCACGAGGCCTGCTGGTAATGACATGATACGAGTTGCGGAGCCAAAAGGAACACAGGAAAATGAGGTGTTGTTGACAAAACTGCTCATAAGTGACAGTCTTTTCTATGGGTGCCCTTTCCCCCACATCATTAGGATTAGATCTCACAGACCAAACCTGAAAACTGAGCAAAAACAATGAATAAATGTAAAACTGATGCCATTTTTTAAAATGTTTTGGGGATGCGAACCTAATCCTTTTGAGAAAAAATTTATACGATTCTTTCTGCTTTCCTGCTACTCTGACTCAAATGAGTTTGATCCACTGTTTCCCTCCAAAATAAGATGCGCTGCATTTCGCAACCAAGTTAGTCTGAAATCAGCCGCTCATCGAGACGCATCCGCTCGACTGTTAAGTAATAAGATTACATCAATGTAAGGTGGAGTGGAAACCCTTCTAGCTGATTCCAGCTTCGCGCCGATGCCAACAATCCTCCCACACTATGCAATGTACCAAATAAAAACAGATACGGGTTGGTATAATGCACAAGCTCGTGAGTAATGATCCAGTATCCACTTTGTACGGGCAGGCAAGCACACCCAGCCCTCAACAGACCAATTAGAAGTTTATATAACCCCACAATAAAAATAAATCTCAGTTTTTTTATGTGGAGACGTCCTGCTTCCATGTAGGGTCAGCGAAATTTTGAACGGTAACGAGACAAACACGTGACATTCAACCGACAGGGACACGCATCTAACCAGGAGAACAAAGCGAAGGGGAATCAATATTCTTCTTCACAGTGTCTGGAGGTAACAACTGTGCTGGAGATGTGAAGGGCCCCAGCTCGTCTCAACGCACCTGGCACAGTGAATTATGAGCCCCCACAAACACCGACTGCCTTTTAGTCGGATCCCCACTTTCCAGGAGGAGGTGATGATCACATCAGAAAAAGCCCGGCTGAGACAAACTCTTCAAAGCTTGACGGTACGGTAGAAAATTTGATTTCTGTCGTGATTCTTATCAAAGTGGAGCTCATTTCTTAAGTTCGCTCTGCACCGTTTTGAAGCTTTTAACTTATTTGGCGAGCGTGAAATATTCTTAGAACCGTCCGGAAGCTAAAAGGTCCAAAGGCTGAAAAATGCAATCATCCCTCTTAGATGTTTTTTCCTTCAGTAAAACGAATTTCAGAGGGCTGAATAAAATATGCAAAGAAAAGAAATTGGAGCCCAGATTGGAGTAAAATGGCCGAAAAACAGAAGGCGGGTATTAATTTGTAATCTACGTTACAAAATGTTTGAGCTTTTTTATATACTTTTATTATGAGGGTGTTGTCATCCAGTAATGCTCTGAAAATATTCCAAGTTGGTGCAGAGTTGCATCATCCTAAGAGATAATAATATTCAATTCAGTTCAGTTTAATTGATATAGCACCAACTAATAGCTGCACACTCTTAATTTGCACGGGAAAAAAACACACTCTTCCATGAATTAATTAGGCAAACATGAAAACTCAACAGAACTGAGTGACAGGTCATCTCTGCATTTGGTGTTCGTCCACGGAAATAAAAGCCTGGGCGGAAGCACCAACAATTATTTCTGTTTAATTTACTTTTCACAAAATAAAGAAAAGTTCTGTCTCTTTTCTTCGGCGCTCGTGTCTTGCGGCAGCTGGCTCTGTTAGACTAATTGGGCGACAGCCGCTTTGACGCCACCGATGCTCCAAACTAAACACAACCTATCCAAAATGATAGTTTTTCTCTCTGAGATCATCATTTGTGCTCATCCTGGTAAAATAAAGGAGGGGAGCACTCGGCGTCATGGCATCGATTTCATCAGCCACTCATTGAAAATACATCATATCCTGACCAGCTTCACATTTAAAGAATGCAGCCTTATATAACTGGCCACATAGATGTATTCAGGTGAGATGAGTGTCTGCAAAGCAAATTCACACTTACACATCGGGATCTATACGCAAGCTCAGACACAGGCTGGCAATCAGATATTGTGTATTTACCAAAAAAAAAACCTGTGTCATAAGGAGTGCATTGAAGCAAACGTTTCAATCACAAGTGTGTTGTGTAATTTAAAGGGAAAACTTTGGCATGATGTATTTTAAAAATACACAGTTAGTTCAAATTATATTGTGAGAATAATAAAAGCGTACAGCATTTTGGATGGGCCGTGGATGTCATTTCCTGGTAAAAGTTTTTATTCGTATTTTTCAAGAAATCCTTGCAACCTGCTCTTTTAAAGGTGCTTCTGTGTCCTGTACACAGGAGAGTACTTTTCCTCCCGGGATCTGTCATCGGCCTCTGGCCTTGGCAGTCTTTTGTTTTGGTGTGATGCTTTGGTGACGGTGATTTTGTCAAATGCATAATGGATGGCCACAGAGCCAGAAAAGGCCTGAAGTCGAGCTGTCCGGCCGCACTATCTTTCAACGTCGGGGACAAAGAGACACAAAGGCAGAGCGGGGGCTGCCAATGCTCTCTGCTGCTCCCGTCTCCTTTGGACCAGGCAAAAATCAGTCTTCAGAATTTACTCTGAAAAAAGGATGCAAGGGGACTTTTGCTTAAAATAAATGAGACTGGTAGTTCGGAAAAAAAAGCAGTGGGACAGGAGGTCCCGGGAGGTGGAGGAGCTGCTTTATGCAAAGCTGTCATCAGATCTCTTCCCCTTTCTCGTATTTTACAATCCCTCTTAGCTATGAAAATACATTTTGCAAAGCAGGTCTAAAAATCTCATGCTTCTTTAGAGATGCACGCTCTGCAGCAGCAGAATGTTTTCCTTGAATTTGAAAACCAAAATGAAAAACAGATGTTCCACGCTTTGGACACACTCTGCCAAAGTGAACTCCCTGTGCACGCTCCCTTTATTCTCTTCAATTTTTCCCTTTGTCTTTCTTTAATATTAACTTCTGGACCCACCCCAAAAAACTTTTGCCATGTCACATAGTTCCATTTCCCCCTTGTGCCATTTCCTTCATGCTCCTACTTCTTCTTTTTCTTTTTTTTCTGGCAGGAACCTTATAGTGGAGCTGAGTTTGGACCAGATCTTTTTTGGCTGATCTCTCTCAGGTTCTGGTCCGCTTGTTTCCACTGTGGCTCTGTCCAGCTCGCCAAACACCAGCTCATAAATCAAACGTCTGCGTGCAGCTCTGTGGGCCTCAGCGTGAAGCCACAGTGGCACCCCCTCTCCACATCACAATCCCGTCCCAACACTCTCAGAGGAAACATCCACTTCCAGCTATTTCGTCCCAACCTGAATGAGCGTCAACAATGTATAATTGTGTTTCTATTATTTTTTAGCTTCCTTGAACTTATTTATTGCTTAATTAGTAAAAATGACCCATCTTAACACTTCTATTCTAAAGAGCACAAGATATGTCAGACATCTTTATTTTTGTTTCTGTGTTTGGTCACTGGTAAGAAAGAGACTATGAATATGAATCTTTATAGTCCCACACCTGATCACAACACATACACTGTCCCACCCCGCACGGCTGCTGAAAACCAAACAACAATAATGATTTAACAACAAGACCCCGCGTCGGCCTCTTTCGATTACACAAATGGAGTGCAGACAGAAACACAGCATTTTAGAAAAAATCCCATTAGCCTCCGTCCATGCGAGGGCAGCAGGAGTAATACGCGGGCGCCCAAGCTGAGGACGTGCAATAAGAAAAAAGAGCCTGCGTGGGACTTACAGTGTGATGCCAGTCTGCGGCAAACTCCTCACATCAGTTTGGAGCAAGTTTACATGAAGGTAAAGGAAAAAAAAAAATCCCATTCGGGGATTTACAAACAGGTTGTACATCAACCACACAGGTAAGCTGAGTCCTTGACCGTTAAGAGAAGAAAATAGCACCTTTAGTTGTTCTCCGGCACACCTTCCTGCTCCCATCCATCTGCCCACGCTACCAAACATCCATCCATCCATTTTTCTACCACATTTTTGCCAGACAGCGTGTGTGACTGAAGCCCATGCAGCCGACTATCGCTTTTGATTTTCTGACACGGGCTTTAGGAGAGGGAAGGGAAATGGATGTAAAAAAACGGAGGCAATGATCGACCTTTCGCCAGCACGTTGGAGTCGAGCTGAAATGAAATGAAACGGCATTTTTCTCCATGCAGCTTTAGCATCGGTCTGCAGCTGATGTGTTTCACAGCTCCTCCTTTAAAGAAACCAACACAGTGATCAATTTTAGCTTTCACCGCAGCGCTCGCTCTGCCAAATGAGCTAAATGATACAGCTTGTCTGAAAAGCTCCTTTTATATCTCCTTCTGTTACAGAGACTGGTGGTTTATTCTCTCTTCGCACACACTACACTCATCAGACATGAACAGAAACACAGAAATAAGAAGCTGCTAAGACACACTTCGGCCATCCTGGTTGATCTATTTCTCATCTTCCAACAGAGAAAGAAACACCAGTTTACATCTTCCAGAGCAGAAAGATAAGGTGACGTTCCTTCTGTAGCTGTTAACTCACACAGGTTTTACACCTGGCAAACACCTGTGAATAAACAGACTGGATTCAAATTGTGTAAAATAGGAACTGCAAAATGTCCAAATGAAAACTGCTGATTGGAAGTTGTTGTTCCCCGTATGTCTAATTCTGGATTAGCCATTGATCACGAGGAGCATCACCACAAAGGCATCTGTAATGTGCTGAACAACTCACTAGAGGAGATATGAAAAGTATTGCTTATGCCTGGCTACACATTATTGTCCGGCTACAAATCTGCCCTCTGAAACTTCAGGTAACAGAACTAATAACGTCTTAATATGGCCCAGCCCACCCTTGTGCTTTCAAACTGGCCAAACACAACAGTGACTGATCTCAACAATTATTAACACTTCATCCAGAAGAAAATTAACAACTGAAACCTCCTGCTGGAGTGTTTGATTGGGAGGCAAATCTGCACACTTTTGATCCCCGGTGGTTTGTTATTAAAGACAATAAATCAGGTCGGGCGGAAAATGAGAATGGCAACACTAAGGGGCAGAAACTTTAAAGTCTTACAGGTTAAAACGGTTTGCATTTTCTCCATAAAACTTTAAATAGATTAGTAAGGACACACTGCCATCAAAGGTGTTATAGAAAGCAACACTTTTCCACCCCAACGTGTTGACTGACTGTTGATTCATTGAGAGAAAAGTCGATAACAGATTATTATTACAATGTCAGCCTTAGTATCCACAGTTTAAAAAAATATCAGCTACTGTTTAGTGAAACTTAAAAAATATTAGAAACAGAGTTTATTAAAGTTTAATAGAGACATATAGCCACAAATCACTTATATCAGAGTTCCATTCTTCATAAAATATTTCAATGCAAAAAACAAAAAAGAATTAACATTAACCATTATAGCACAGTTATAGCTTCCAAGTCTTTCATTCCAAAAATATGGGGCTGAAGAAATTGGGGCTTGATATAGACGTCATCCAAGTCTTGATTTTTTTTTTTATCAGAGAGGTGATCAGTCTTAAAACCAAAGCCCACTGGAGTGCAGCTAGAAGCTGAATTATGTGATTTATCTCTAAATATAAATGATCTCTTTTTAATTTGAGAGGAGACACCTGTACACAGTGCATCATACTGTGAGTTATTGATTCAAATACAACAGATCTCAGACTTTGGCCTGATTGCTGCGAGGGTCTGCGGGGGACTTACCTGAAACCAGGTGAGACTGTGGCACAGCTGCCGGACCTGAGCCAAATGCAGTACGGATCCCGCGAAGACAAACAGCTTCTGCACAACAGACAAGGAAAAACAGGGGGTTAGTGACGGGTGAAAAAAAAAATGGGCAGAACAGCAGGAGGCGAGTGGAAGTTAGCCGGGTAATGAGACACTACCCCGCCACCCAGAAAAAAACCCAGCAGCACCTTTCACTTTCCCCAACTCTACCTTAACAGAGACCACTGAAACAACTTGTTATGGATGTAGGATGTGTGCAATATGGAGGCCCATCAGGAAAAAAAAATCTAATTGCTACATTAAAACACACAATTAGCGTTTACCAAGAAGAACTAATTGATGAAACAGGAGCGACGTTACAGATACCGCCGCGTGAATCATCCCATTTCACTTCAACTCTTCACAGGCATTTAAAAGAAATGAACTCGCTGATAAAATCTGATGATGTGCAAAGATATATGATATCTGAACATGGTAGAGTTACCCTTTTGCAGCTGGATGATGCACATAATTATTTTTGCTGTGCGTGTATTAATAGAACGTGTAATTAGCCATGTTTAATCATGTTCAGCCAGGTTTTCAGACATAACTGCGCTCTGCATAATGCAGATAAATACACATAAGAGCACAAAGAGACGGAAACTGAACCATAATCCGATTATTTTCAGTTTGACTTTTGACTCTGAATTAACGCTTGTACAGATATTTAACGTAAGAAAAGGCGTGTTTAATATTCCGCCTCTTTGATCTTCATCTGGTTTGACACACTAGCGAAAACAGTCTAAAAAGTTTCCAGCTTAGCTTAAGAAATTAGTTAGAAGTTAGGGGTTATAAAGTTAGGTTCTTAAGGAACACAATTTCAGTCGTCTAACCTTGATAGAACAGCTATTTTTGGATTTTTAACCACTTCAGGACACATAACCAGAAAAAGGTCAAGAGCTTTTTCCTTAAATTCTTTTCTGCAAATACGATCCAAACTAAATAAATTAAGAGTTTATTATTTTCATTTTCATTTCCCATCTGAAAAACACTGACCAGAGCATCCAATAAAAATATGGATAGAATATAAATTCTATTTATAAGATAAACAGAAATAAGATTATAGGTATATACAAAGAATACTGTGCACATTGAAAAGAGATGTTTGATGAAATCTCCAAAGAATCTCCAATCCAAAACAGATGGGAGAAAACTGTAAAGGATTCTTTTTTTTTTTTAACTTTTGAATGACAAGATGTGAACAAAAGTCAGACTTAGTTCAGTTTTTTTGGCTCTTAAAATGAGTTGACTGTATTGGAAAGAACAAAACAATATCAGTGTTGTAACAGTATAAATATTTCAAGTTTGAAATCGATATTTTCCTCTAATGCAGTGAAGCTAGTGCAGAAAAGTTCAGATCGCATTTGCATGAATTGTTTTATTCAAACTGACCCTCTTTGACATTTCTACGTCCGACTTTAAGAGGATCATACGTCCGGCATTTTCCCTAAGAGTGCACCTTTAAATTAAACCAGAAAGAAAAACGGCAGTTCATTCGGTCCATCATCAGCCACAGTGGGCGCAGTCATGCTGACCGGCAGCAAATGGCCTTATTTTGAGAGCGGAGCACACACGCTTTACCACCAGTCTCATGCCAGCAGTCAGCAGATAGTCCAATCACCTGATCCTACTTACTGTGCTTTATGTCAGCCCCTGAGCTCCGGCGAATAACACCGTGAGTGGACCCGGACTTGTTTACTTCCTCCCCCTTAAAGCAGTCAGCATTAACTGCAATCAATAACCATTAGTCACATTCCCTACAGTATGAAGTCCCAGCAGAAATCTCAGCATTCGGAGCAGTTCTTCCCGCTTTGAGACCAACACGTCAATTTTGTAGATTAAACTCTTCCTCCGACGGGCCTCAGTCTGCTCCACGTCTGTGCATCCTAATTCCTCCCTATAAAACGTGAGTTTAGACGTTTCCACATCTTTTTTTAAAAAAGCTGCAAAGGTTTCTGTTGGCGAGAGTCAGCCGGCAGCAGCAACATAATGAGCAAAACAGTTCGCACTGATAAAGAATGGCAACAAATGATACCGCATGATAACGCCCTCTTCTTTTTTGTCGAACCGAAACCTTGCGAGGCAGTCGAGTTTAAGCAGATTTTAATGAGGAGCCCGTGACCTGTTTCTAATGTGATTTGAGACACTTTAACATGAACTCGAATGTGTGTGCAGCCTGTGAGAATTTGTGAGAAAAACACACTGAGAGCATATTAGTGCTTCTCTCCAGAGCAGAAGGAAGTCACGAAGCGGTAGGAAATATTCTCCCCCCCCCCCGCAGCACCGGCAGCTGGCGACTGAATATACATCAAATTACGCCTGAGCAATTTAGAGGGTTTTTCTTCTTTGATATCAAGCATTTAAAAAATACAGTGCATTATGGTTACTTCTGCAACTTTATTAGGGTACATTTTGCTAGGAGGATCTCCAACTGAGCAAACAATCCGGCTTTTTCACTTAACCTTTCAATATGCAACAAATACTGAGGGGGCCGAACATTCTGGACCTCTGACCGCCTCAACGTTTAACCGACTCAATAAAAAACAGATTATAGTTTTAAAATTTGAGGCCTTTGTGTCTTTAACAAAAGAAAAAAAACTCTTAACTGCAGAGTAAAATACAAATAAGGAAAATATTCTATATTCCAGCTTTTTTGTTCTCAGAAATCTGGGGAAAAAACAAAAAAGAAAAAAATCTATCTAAGACTAAATGGGTCCATATAAATGATAACGTTGTTACCAGCTGCTGTTCCAGGGATGAATTCAGTGGACACATAACGGTAATGTCATCCGTGCGCACGCAGCGCAGAACAAAAAGGCGCACGGCTGAAAATAAAAACAAAACTATGACCTACTTGGCAAAGCACTGTAATAAAAATCACATGCTGGAGTGACCACAAAAATGTACTTCTTTTAGACATTTCTTTCTAAAATCATCACAGAAGAGGTGAGAAAAATAAGATCTTCCAGCTGCTGTAAGATAATAACAGATTGGTGAGTAGCGAAATGCTCGAACTGGAAAAGTTTCTCCATTTCTTGCTTTCCTGTTGGAAGCTGTTAAACTGAAGCCTCTTTAATTACCGACTCAGTGGGAGAGCTGGCAGACGGACACAGAATGGGTCATCTGTACTGTCCCACTTGTTACCAGTAGAGAGTTTGATCTATAGTTTGATCTGCTCGCTATTTTCTTCTGCAATCTAATCTGTATTTCTGAGTTTTCTGTTTTTTGGCTAACTTTTGCTGCGTCTGGGCAGAGTGTGAAATAGAGATTTATTTTTTTTCTCACATGTTTAGTCATCTGACTATTGAGAGCTGAAATGACTTGAGCTAATATTAGAATTCTCATCCAGATTTCAGCTGAACGCTGAAGGTGAAGTGAGAATACAAAGAGCACAAAATTATCAATACGATCCTTTTTTCTCACTCCCCGCATTCCGCTGGCATTTATCAAGACGGCGCTATGGTTTTGTAGTGTCAACATAAACAAGGAAGGGAAAAAGTGAAATAAATGTCAGTGTATTTATGGGGGGCGAAAAAAAAAATAAAGAAAATTCTCTTGGATTTCACAGTTCACAGATTGAGCACCTCTGGGTATGGAGAAGCTAAAATGACTCCATCCACAACATGTGAGTGCCAACACGCCTCACCGAATGCTGAAGTGCTGCTTTAATAAATTATTCATTCACTAGCCATAAGGTATATGTACATATCTCTCCATTTTGCCTCTCCTCTCTCCATCAGAGGCAGTCATTTACAGTTACACGCATAGGCCTGAAGCTATGAGGCTGCAGAAGTCAGTTTCTGTCATCTTAAGTTGTCCTAATATGTGTATTTTTTTTTGCGCCACCTGGATTTGTGGGACTGTGTTCCATAAGATTCAGATTTATTTGTAAAACTGTGTTCACACAGAAGTACTGTGTCGTGACCTGTAAGGTCTACTTGAGGGTCTGAGACCGGCTCGCTTATTTTCCATCTGTCATGTTGCCAATGTCTTTGGAACAGGAAAATAATAACTTACTGGAACCTATTTAAGCTAATGCGCCACTGCTCGTGAAAACCGTGCCACTTTTCTTACAGGTAAGACTTTAACTGGAGTTAGAAATGCGCAGGATGATAATTCTGCCGTGGCTGTGTGTATTTATTTGAATAAGGCATTACTGTAAAGCTGGTTGCAGCACAACTTTCTAAAGACTGTTTGACAGAGAAAATGGAGTCAGTGAAAAAGACTCTCGCTGTCTAAACATGCATTAGTTCCCAAATTGACTCACGGCTTTCATTGGTGCCGACGAGTTGGGCAAACTGTGTGATCAACTGCTCTTACAGCCATTTTTTAGAGGTTTGTTTTGGCCCGGCCTCCAAAAGGAAATCATAAACTCTGAAAGAACTTCTCAGAAACAGGGTCAGTAGTTCTATTCCACACTTCTGGTGCTCATAAAATGTTTCTAACGGTAAGTTTGCCCTCTATATCCACAGTGCTCTTTTCTCTCTGGACGTTTATGAGCACGTAAGGGCCCAATAAACCATCACACGGGTAGGGTCTGAACCGTAGACGCTCGATCAATCTCCCAACTGTGAGACTATAACTCAGCCGCTGATTAAAAAATCATGAAAGACAGAAGCTAACCGATTAAAAAATAAGGAATACGAGCACGCTGTGTGGAATCGGCCCTGACCAGCCACCACTTTCATCAAACCAAAAAGCTGATGAGACTGCCATTTGCAGTGTGTAGTCATCTGAAATGATATGATTTGGTTACAAAGCGGGATCCTACTAATCGCACTAGAAATCCAACTTCATCATGTGGTTAGATAGAATTATTATTATCCATTTACACAGCGTCTTTTCTTCACTGTGCAATCTTTCTTAAGATTTAGGTTCTGGTTAGGGCTGGTTTCTCGACCATCACATTTGCCTGCGCCATGCTGAGGAAGAACTTTGTATACCTGGAAGCTGTCTGTGTGGCAAACCGTGCAAGCAGCCTTTTGAGGATGGGCCGAACAAAACTGACAATTCTCAATACAGTACGAGAAAAAACTGTTCACAGATCTGCCGATTTGCGTAATGCTGTTACGACCTAATCTGAGCGGAGGCTGGAAATTTGTTTTTTGGCTCCTTCAGCAAAGACAAACATGAACATTCTGTCTGCTGCGCAGTTGGAAGAGAAGCGCATGAATTCCTGCACTACGTGCCGCTTCACTCACTGCCAACGCTCGTGCATGAATGACAAATGTCATGCATGGATATTACCTCCCTCATCCCGGCTGTAGGTGTATCTATCTAAAGCGGCAAAATATGAGAAAGACTGACAAAATGTAGCTATTTTGATAAGTGAAGGAGTCACAGGCGCTCCACACAAATGAAAATGTTCTGATATAATGAAATGTCTAATCCAGATGATTTGCTCAGTGATTTAGAAGTTTCTGTATTTAAACAATTCAACAAACCTCTCATGTGTGCGGTACTGTTGGCTTCATCATAGTTCTAACACACGTCCACTTTTCAGGAATCACTTTGATTCAGAACAGAATGCTCAACTGAAAAAAAGATCAAATCTGGAATAAATCATTCATAAATTGCTTTTTGATGCATTCAAGCTTTACATCCTGATTTTAATGAACAGTCCATGTGAAAAGAAAGTGTTATCCATTTACAGATCTAAGAACAGACTGAATAGCAAGTTCAGCCAGTTCAAATAAAAAAAATATATATATATATATCCGTTTGAGCTGAAAGTCCATGGATATAAAACTTAAGGTTTAGGGCCTCTTCTTCCCTTTTATTGTATTTCTTTTTCATTAAAATTCCCATTTCATACACTTCCCTGCTGCTGCTCAAAACAGAGTATTTTCTGAAACCTAATATTGGCAGCAGGGCCTCAAGTGGAAAAAAAGAAAACCCTCAAACCTGATGATACAGGCTGCAGTGAGGGGGGAGAAAGAGAAACAAGCAAAGAGCGAGAGAGAAAAATGGAGTCTGCAAAGAGAGACCGAGTAAATCTCGTGTGGAGGGAGACGGAGTCATTGGCGTGTTAAAGGAGGATAAGGTGGCTGAAACATGACCTCCTGGTCAGTGCTGATGCAGCTTACGGGGCCCCTAATCCGAGCATGAGGTGTGTGCTGTAGCACCCGTCGCTAAAAAGGATCCGGGGGTGTAGCCGACCAGAGAGTTCAAGTGAGAGAGGATCTAACCATTCCCACCCCCACTTATGCAGTCTGACGAAAACAAAAACAAAAAATAAGAAACAAAGAAAGAAAAAAAAAAAACAGGGACCACCACTGCTGGCTCCCAGCCAATCAGCTGGATCCAATTTATGACCTAACAATGTTGAGAGCTTCCTCTGGCTTTTGCAATGAAGCGTTAGCATGCAATGTGGGTATATGCACTCCCAGTGGGAGCTCAAGAAAAAAATCCTTCCTCGGGCTTGACGGGGTAGAGAAAAGGGGGATGGGGGGGGGTTGCAGGGGGCCAACATTCCTCACAGCCCCCAAAATAGATCCAAAGCAGGAGAGCAAGTATATTAGCTGAGGCAAAGCTTTGCTTGCCAAAACAAAGGGGGCTGGAAGCACGACGCTTGAAGGCTCTGCTGAGCTCTGCTCATCAACATGCTCTCGGGGCGTGCACAGCTGTCAAGTTTGTGCACGTTAAAAAGTAGCCGCGTTGAGTCGGGAATCTTGCAGCACTGGAAGAAGCAAAGCAGACAAAAGATCGACAAAATGTAACGGAAACTCGTAAGCGATGATGCTTCCCTGGTGCTGGAGATTGGACTCCACGTTTTAGCTTTTACCGTCTCGCGTAGGGATATTCCAACAAGAAGACAGACAGTCGGATGTTTTTATGATCACAGACAAGCTGTGTTGTGAATTCTTTCTGTTAGCATGTGCTGACGTCCTGTGAGAGCTCCTTCACACTGCTGGAGAGCCAGCTGCATGGCTGGCGCCTCCTTTTCTTCTCAAAAGAGAATTTTACCACGATGTGTAAGTGCAACAGACTCGGAATTATGTGACAGAGTCATTGACGTCTTAACAGGAAACTGCACAGAAATGGAAACGGATGGAGAGATCTTGCACCATATTCACACAAAGTGATCTTTACCAGTCATTACCTCAAAGAAAGACTTCACTTAAAGCTCTCTACAAAGCAGAAACTGCACAGGCCAAAGCTGTGATACAGCAACCATTCACCTTTTGGTAATAGTAACCCCACAGGTTCTGTTAGTCAAAGAATGGGTTTGCGTACATTATCGTAAACAGACAATGTTTGTCACCATTAAGTTAAAAAGCTCTGAATATGACCACCCATAACCAGTCTGAAGAGCATTTATTGAAGGATTTATGATCACATTTTTGGCCCACACAGCACTGGAGGATGAGATCTTCTCCCCAAAAGCTTATAACACAATCATCAGAGTAAGCTGCTTTCCCTCAACGACCTGGCAGCTCTGCTGCAGTGCTTCTCCATGGCACAAACGGAGAGAAAAAAAAACTAAACGTAGCACAGTTTCTAACTTTTGAAACACTTTTCCAAATACTCAGTTTTTCCAACATTTCCCTCCGCGTTGACAGAGACAGATTCTGGTTAATGGATCCATTCGAAACATTGTGAAGCTCTGCACAAACCTGCTAACAACACTTCTATGTTAATTTGCTTCATTCTGTTAAAACTAAAGAAATAATTGAAAAAATAATGAATGAAATAAAACATCTCAGGATGAGCCATGTCTGAGAGCCACAGTTACAGAATGAAACTGTCATCTGAGTGTATGCATTGTTATAAAGGGAAAAATAAACACTGTCAGAAGGCCCTGAGAGGGGGGGTTGACATCCTATAATTGCCCGCCCGATAAAAAGAAGCAAACAGACGAACGAATGCTTGAGGATGCTCGACGAGTCACTCACTTTTTGCAGTTGCTGTACTCGCTGCAGCGGCTCAGAGGGACCCGGATCACACAGCCGGAGAAGGCCACGAACAGCGCGTGATGGTCGCGGTCCAGCTCCAGACCAAGAACCCTCCTGTCCTCCCCTCGCACGTTGCATCTGGGGTATGGACACAAAACGGGAACACGGGATCGGATACTTTTAAGTTAGCAGAGACATCTGGCAAAGTGACAAGATTGTGCAGAGAGGTGGCTGCGATACACGTTCTGCGACAAAACGACGAAAGAAAAGAAAATGTTATATCCGCCAGCTGTGGATGGTGATGGAAATGTTTCAACAGACCAAAGAGTGAGTGGGCAAAGCAGGTTAAGGAGGAACAAGGAGGAGGAAAGCAAGCCAGGATAAGAGGAGCCTAATAAAGTGACAGTGAAGTGACAGCTAAGTGTTAACCAAGGAAAAAAAAAAGCAACTGAAAACAGAATAAATTACAATCCAGATAAAAATTCAAATGAAAAACTGTCTTACTTGTGTGGGTTGTAGACCTCGATGTCCTCCAGGAGTTGGGTGCTGAAAGAGGCGTTGGCTCCCTCTGTGCTGGCCAGGATCTTCAGGACATGGCCGTTGTCCGAGCCCAGGAACACCACGGTGTAGTTCTTATAGGGCCCTGCCGATGTATCCACGGCGATCTGGGTCAGTTTATACCTTCACCCAAAAGAGAAGACAAGTACTCATTATATAAAAAACAACAAACGCATCAAAACAACTCACGTTTGTGACTTAAGTACACAAACTGAATCTCTTGTCACCGGAATGAATTGGAGGAAGCTCATCATATCAAACGTGCCGGCTAGCTTCTGAAATGACATGTTTTGCATGTCAATTTTCCTCTTGTAAAGAAAGCAAACAGTGGGTGAGCACTAAGCTAATTGTGTCGAGCTTTAGCGCACAATCGGACAATTCATCAACCAGCCCACCGCTCCCTTCTTTCATCGCCTACATGATTTAATACCTCCAACCCAATACTTCATCTGCCCGTCCGCCCACAGCTATTGAGCGGATCCATCCCTCACGCCATTCATCCACTCATCTTGACACACAGCCGTCTCTTGTTTGAGTCCCGAATTTTTGAGGAAGTGGTTTCCGGCTCCGTGGAGGACTGAGCTCCCTGGTGAAGGCGTCGGGAGTTCAGCGATAGGTGGGTTAGGGTTAGGGTTAGGGGGTGAGCTTCACCCTTTCTTTTTGCCTGCCCTATCACGCCTTCTGTGGCTGTGTGTGTCGTCAAAGAAAGTTCTCCCTCCCCAGTTGCCTTTTCCTTTGATCTGGGCCCCGGATCGACCGATTGGAATAAATCCGATGGGGTTTTAATGAGGTACAAGGTTGAGTGTTCCACCTGAACTCACTCATCTATACCAGTCACAGACTCGAGTGTGTGAAATGCTGCGTTATGCTGCCAGAGAAAATAAATACATAGAACCTATTAAAGAAATAACCCCGACATTTTCTCTTGCCAGCCTGTTTTTGTAATACCTAGCCACGGTCTGGGTAGCACTAGACCAATTAATGTTCATAATTTTGATTTTAATCTGCGAAAGTGTTCAGTAAAAAAAGGTTCTCTGCGTTTCAGTGATTAACAATTAAAAGATCAACATCCAGTTGCAAAAAAAAAACTATAATAACTACTGAGTTTGTGGTCTTTACTCAGACAGAATTTGTACATAAAAGAAATGTACAATAGTTGATGGTGGAGTCTGATCTTATGAGTGGTCGGTGCAGATTTACCATCTCAACTGACCTATCTCAACATAGTCCTGATTGACAGAGCTCCATTTGTTCAGCCGTTTTTACAAATTCATAAAAAATACAGGACATCCATCCTACATCCTAATGCTTTTTACAAAGCAGCAACAAATCGACTGACTCTGCCTTGTTGGCTTTTTTAGACAGTTAAAAATAGCACAAACATGCCTGTGTAAGATTTCACATTTCCCAATGAACAGTTTGAAAAGTAAAGGATTTTGGCAAGCTGGGTTGTTGGCCAATTAAAACAAGACACCAAAGACAATTCTGCACTGAGGAAAAGCTAATTTAGGCTCAATGTTCATAACTGACTAATTGTTTAGTTATTAGTCAGATATGAAACAGAATTCATAATCATCCCGTGATATGTGGATGGATGTGTCTTAAATAGGTCTAAGTGGGTGCTGAGAGATTTTAAAGAGGAATTCCTGGAGCATTTTCCCTTATGATGGGTTGGAAAGGGTCAGTAGGTTAAGGACCGATGACTGACAGCGTTTAATAAAGTGACTGACACATAGGGTGGTGTCACTTTGTGATTGTTACTATTTTTTTTCCCGTCTTTAATAAATCTAAGCTCCCGTGTTCCTGCCACAGTGTTTCCACCGTCCCTTTGGCCTACCGGCTGGTGGTGCGGGTGAAGTAGGGCCTGTCGTTGACCGACGGCACCGACTCGTCCATGAGCGGGTAGGATTTGATGAAAGTCAGCGTCTCGTCTGGGAAGGTGGTGGAGGACTTGTAGGCGGCGGCCGATCCCTCCCCGGCACAGCTGCCCGGCCTGCACCACACCGGCAAAGCAAAGAAAAAAACAGGCACAGGTGGAAAAGCGCTAGCTAGCAGCTGTTAGTTTTCAGGGACCAGCAGGAGGGAAAGCAGGTGTATTGTGTGACTGCGTGCTTTTTGATTTTCTCGGATGTCTGTTCGGAATAATAACAGCAGCTGCATAAATCTCCTCTCTCCTTTTTACAAAGATGCTGTTGGAAAGTGGCGGCGTTTTTTTTTTTTTTTAAAAGACGGCATCTCTCACCTCGGCTTTGGGACCTGCTCCTCTGGAACAGGTGTCCACGCCGACTCGCTGTTCCTCTGCTCTTTGAATTTGCCGCCGAAAGCCTTCTCTATGTCGTCCATGTAAAAAGCACAAACTGCCGAGCCAGTGATGCTGTTCAGGAGGAAGAAGAGATCAGTGAGCAGGCGGGAAGTCTGCAAGGCTCCAAAAGCCTTTCTCTTCTTTTTACTGCTCTTTTACACGTTCCTTGTCCGTAACAAAAATAGGATTGTATCATTCCTATTATGAAAGTGACTTAACGTGTCATTTAAATTTCATTCCATCCATAAGAGATGCTTTTCAGACATTAGACTTCCTCTTCATCCTTTGAATGCCGATAGGAAGCCCAAAAAAGCTGGACAAAGTCCGTTTTAAGATCTAAAGTCATTTAGCTAATGCATTCAACTTATTTGGGCCTTTTACCTACAAACCACCGACATTTTCCTCCCACATATTCTGCAAAAAAATGCAAATGGACCCAATGTGACCTATGATAAATCTGTGGCCATTCAGGGACAAACGCTTCCTTTTAACACCTACATCCAAAGCACACAAAATGAACGTGCTGGAATTACAAACGCCCCTGGAAAATAATGATGAGCTTTAGCCTCCTTGTGTCTCCAGGTTAGCCTAAAGTTTAAATAACTAAATCTAACCTTTCTCACAGAAATTTAAGCAGACGTAGCAAAAAAAACAGTTAAGTGTCACATAACTGAGGATGTAAAAGTGCCGCTGAGATAAACTGCCTTTAACACTGTAAACAACAAGCTTACAAGTGATGGGTGTTTTTCAAAAACTGCTGCCGTGTAGTAACACTGGATTTTCGGGGGGGGGGGGGGTGGAAAGGGATCATTTTCTCCTGCAATGAACACTGTAGACTCCGAAATAAACTGCTTTTAGCACACACTTACGCACAGTTCACTGGTTTAAGTGTGGATTTAACATTCGGTTATGCTTTATAGGGTGTCTGAATACCAGGCTGAAAAGCCACATTTGAGAGCCCTAACCTGGATTAACTAGATCAGTGTTTCCCACACGGTCCGGCGTGTTTTTCCAAGTTTCCCTGCTCCAGCACACCTGATTTTAATGAATGCATCAGCCCTTCAGCTGTTTAAGCTCTGCAGAGCGTTGAAGAAGACGTTTTCATTTGAAGCCGGTGTGCTGGAACAGGGAAACTTGGAAAAACCTGCTGGATTGAGCGGCATTAGGACCGCGCCTGGGAAACATTGAATCGGTTATCTCAGACAAATAAAAGCTGTATTTTTTCTGCGATATTACAGGCATTCAAGGGGCTTAACCTTTTATGCCTGCCGGGTTACAACTGCACCTCGGCTTCAACGTCAAACTCCAAATGTAAAGAAATATTGAAATGATCTTACCTGTTGGACTGTGTGGTGAAGACTCCGAGGACGGCCGGACGGTGGTTGATCTGCAGGATGTTGGTCAGCGACTGCAGGACGTCGAAGTAAAAAAAGGAGTCGCCGGGCACGGAGCAGTTGAGCCGGGCTTTGAGGAATGACGTCCAGTAGCGTTCCAGCACCCTGGGGGAACCCCCATTGTCGTTCTTACAAACACGCGCGACTCGGGAGAAAACCACCTAAGGGGGAAAAGTGAGAGTACTTAACAGCTGACAAATTTATTAATACGCCAACACCCAGAGGCAGAGCCGGCGGGAATACTGAGTCGCAGCTAAGAAAACGGGTTCAGGTACAAGCGGCTATGTTGTGGGGAATTTATTCCACTTACAAAAGAAAAAGGTTGCCTGTCTCACCTTGCCGAGAGTGGTGTACTCCACCGCAATTTCACTGAAGAAAAAGTACACGTAGTTCCCATACTCAATAGCGTGAAGGAAATGGGGCTCTGCAGAAAAAAAAAAAAGAAAGATGCATCACAAACACTGGCGGTTATGTCTTTTTCCAATACTGTAATATAAAAACACGATCAGCCAGTGAGTGGAGCTGGTAAACACAGGCGGAGACACAAAACACAAGCACTTCTAAAATGGGAAATCAGTGATATGGGACAGAAAAAATAACGATAAACAATCAGATATCTATTGATCTGAACTAACCAATAGTCCCAGATTAGCAGCTACACAGAGAAAATAATGAGCTAAGTTCAGGGATCTAGAATTTCTTTGGTGGTTCCGTCATTCATCCAAAATGTCTCTAATTGTTTAATCAGTTACATTATGGAATAAAACAAAACAAAACTTCAAGAATACAAACTACCCAAAACATTTAACCAGTCAGAGGTGCAGATGTGCAAAGTACAGGATTGTTTCTAAGTACAAGAAGATTTATTTCCACTAGTAAAATCTCATTTAGAACAAAACAGAAAACAGTTGAGAGCAGGAAGCCATTAGTGAGGAATGAGAAGCCCTCATGTGTTGGTATGGGAACAGATGTGACATAGTATACATTCTGTACATTCCCTTCATTTCACAAACAGCTTCCACTAAACATCCTTCCCTCCTGAGAACAAGTAATGCGCACAAAGTAGCATAACCAGAAAGATAAACCCATTTGTAAAATGATCCATGTAAAAATGACAGTCAAATAAACCAAACCACACATTTCCAAACAGATGGTGGAAACAGAAGTTCCTACCTGGCTCCACAACAGGAAGACACTGTGCGAGTCACCAATCAGACAAATGGACACTCTGATGTGGAGTTAGAAACTGATGTTTCCACATCTGTCAGCTAACTGTTACACCCCCGTTGTGTACCATTGAAAATATTGACATCAGACGATTTGATGTCCGAGAATTCATGTTCTTCAAGCACGGCTGGACAGTAAACGCCCACGCGGAGGCCAGTCTGCCTCGTTTCGAGCTAAATTTGATTTGGTTTGGTTTGGTTGATGCTTCAAGCGTGGATTTTGAGATGCTTGAACATGGATCCAGCTGTCAAACACGAACATCCTTCATTTGCACAGAGACCTCGCAGCTCTGTGTCTATAGCTCTACATTCTTACCTCGCAACCATTTGGAGTCATACTTGACTGTGCGTAGTACAGCACTACTTTCTCCCAGGCTTCTGTAAATGACTGCATCACTGGCCAAGAAGTCAGTCATGGTGGCAGAGTAGAAGTCACCACCTGGGGGAGGGGAAAAAAAAGAACGAAGAAAAAGTAGCAATCGTGTCACATTGAGAGATATCACAATTCCTAATGATAGCCCACCTCTCCTCAGTGTCTATTTTGGTCACAGATGTCTTTTATTGGTGTTTAAAAAGAGGTTGAGGGGAGCAGCTGTAGGAGAACATGCCAGTTTTAATAGCACCCTGTGTGAACTGCACATAAATGTCAGTGGAAACCTGGCAGGATTAAGTGCTGGTTTGGCTTTCCCGTCTCTTCCCTGGACTTGACCTCGGTGTGTTCACAGCGTATCATCTTGCCTCTCTGCTATGATTAGTAAAGAAACTGTAAATCCAAACATCGGAATCAACAAAAAAAAGGGAACTTCTGATTGCATCTCCTAAAGAGCTACAATTACGCTTGGGTTCTGCTTTTAGATTTTTTTGGCTTCCATCTCGAGCTCTGAGCCACATGAACTTGTAATTATTTACTTGTAATCACAGTATTTAAAATGCCGTTTAATTAATATTTTCAACTCGGTATTCATGAGCTTTTGTATAAGTCAATCCTTTGAAAATCATGGCTGCTTTACATACCAATTACCTCATTTGTAAATGATTAAGTGTAACACAAGACCAATTTTCTGTTTCTGGCATAAATTGGAATCAATTAATATCTTGTCTGGAATAAAATATTGTCATAATTACATAATTATCATGAGGTAATGTCAAACAGTTATCTCCATGATAAAGCACCAAAGCATAAAAATGTGTGAAGTGAAACTTATTTAGGGCAGATTTGGTGAGTGGCTCACATCCCTTTCAAGCATCTGCTGATTCAATTTCGTGAGGAGGAAATAATATTTTGGTTCGTGGGCTTGTGCTTAGGGGAAAGAAGCATACTCTAAACACTCCTTTATTCCCTTTTGCTCCACTGCAGAGTTTCATGCACTGTTACGTTTACTGGAGACTCTCCACGGGCAAATTCACCTAATGCGAACAAGCAAGTGGACTAACACTCAATCAGACATGGAGACTGTTTTACCCGTTTTATAGTCTGTCAGTTTGATTTAAACAGACAATAGGAGGGGTAAGGACACGGATCAGCAGCTGTGGGAGTTCAACCCGGGACACTGGACAGAAGCTCCATCACTTTGGGCGGCTCACCTGCAAAAAGGCCCACGTTGGACTGACGAGACTCGAAGGGACACCTGGCCTGTCCCACCACCTCCTCCCCCTCCTGCTCCAGCGTTGACATCTAGGTCAGAGACAAGGTGGCGACAAAATTAGGTTTTTTTTCTGAGGCCGCGTGCCATTCTCCTCCGGCACCGGATCGGAATATTAAAAATTTTACCAGCCCGATCAATCAGTCCGTTCCGCCAAAAGTCTTAAACGCGGGCCAAGTGGTCAAAGCAGGAGTAGCAAATCAATCCGCGGTAATGAAAAGCAACGCATGCGCCGTAAAGATTAGCTTTATTTGATGCATTATATGTGGGTCACATCCATAAAAGACGTGTGAAGGTCCCGCTGCACACGCAGGCGGGACGGTTTATCTCCGAGGCACAGATATTAAGCTGCCATTTTCCAACCTGCTGTTAACAAGGTTGTAAACCTTAGACACGACAATGCGTGAAACCGCACGCCGTGAGCTTGTAGATATGCGTGCGTGCGTGTGTGTGTGTGTGTGTGGCGAGGGGTTGAATGCATGCTGAGTAGCTTTGACACCCTTTGCGGCAATAAGGTGACACAAAAAGTACACAAACACCACATTAACAGTGCATTAACACAAAGCCCGGCCTGTGTCGCGTCCATGTGACGCGCCTCGTGTGTAGTTGCCGCTCTATTGTTGTTCCACTAGCAGACTTTAAGGACAATTTATGACTTCAGCAGAGACAAACAGAACATGTGATGTTGACACCTGAATTGGAGCCGGTACAAATGAAAGTTGGGGTGAACTAAAGCTTGTGATTGTCGGTGGGAATAAAGATGATTAAAAACAGTGGATTTTTTCGGCACCGCTCAAATACACAGACAGATAATCATCAGATTCTTTTTGGTTTTTCCCCTGGACTCCAGAGGAAGGACTTTTCTCAATATGATTCACATTTCTTCCCACTTTCCCCAGCTGTCTGTAAAGTCAACCTTTGCTCCACTTTCCAAAGCCAGGACACAGAGGAGGGGAGCAGGGAGCAGTTGGAGGGTTTCAGGTAAAGTGTTTTAGTAAAATCTTGAAGTCTTTGCCTGTGGCTTGGAGATGATTACTTTTGAATGTAGGCCAGTGTGTTGTTGTATTATTTATTTGACACACAGTTTGAGTCTGAAAATGTGTTTAGGGAGTCTTAGACAGCCGGGATGCTCTCCTGAGTTCATATGAGGCAGTTGACGGTTTTATGTTATCCTAAAACTGATTTATTTGTTCACCCTAAAACACAAAGTGTCTTGTACCTGTGGCAGTAATATGGTTGTACCGTCAGAAACAGGCTAATGTATCATCGGTTTTATTAATCTGATTAATAATTTTGCTCATTTTTATGGCTAAAAATGTGATAAATACTACGGTGCACGGTAAAATCTGCATACTCCATAATTTACTTCACAGTTTGGTCTTTCAGAATTAGCTTCACGCCTGTTCTTTGGTACATAACTTTCCATGAAAAATGTCCTCGTCACTGTAAAACCCCGTGCGTTGGGGCTCTGCTTTATTGCTGCTGCCTAATAGCCACAGAACGGTATTATACTACTCCATCATATCCTGGGCTCTTATCAAAATGGTGGCGTTTGCTGAACACATACACGTTTCATTAAATGACAGCTGCATTGACAGCTGTGCCATCTTAAGGGCAAAGCCAGAAACAAATGTACCTTCCTTTCTGGCTACATTTTCTCTCAGCTTCATAGCATATGGTGTAACTTTACACACCTACAGAAGATCAGGGTGTCAGCAAATACATCCTGTCATAAATTGTGAGACTAATATCCGAAACTATCTCTAAAATCTTGATTGTAAAAGCTTTATTCCACGCTTTGAGGTTGAAAAAGTGAGAGTTTTGCACATGAATTCCATTTAAACTGAGAACAATTCTTCAGTAAAGGGATTTAACTGAAAGACGGTTAAAGAATTTTCCTTTTTTTTAAATCTATAACAGACCCTGTCAGCGAAGACAGTGAGTAAAACAACAATATACTTTTGATAAAAGTAGCATACAGTGGTCTGCAAAAGTTTGGGCAACCTTGTTAATTTCAATGATTTTCCTTCATAAATCATTGGTTCTTTGGATAAAAAAAATCAGTTAAATATATGATATAGGAGACAAACACAGTGATATTTGAGAAGTGAAACGAAGTTTATACCATTTACAGGAAGTGTGCAATAATTGTTTTAACAAAATTAGGAATGTGCATAAATTTGGGCACTGTTGTCATTTTACTGATTTCAAAATCTTTAGAAACAATTATTGGAACTCAAAATTGGTTTGGGAAGCTCAGTGACCCTTGACCTACATACACAGAGCGAACCCAATTATGAGAGAGTATTTAAGGGGGGGCAATTGTAAGTTTCCCTCCTCTGTGAATCTTCTCTGAAGAGTAGCGACATGGGAGTCTCAAAAGAACTGTCACATGACCTGAAAACAACGATTGTTCACCATCATGAATTAGGGGAAGGATACCGAAAGCTGTCTAAGAGATATCAGTTGTCTGTTTCCACAGTTAGGAACATAGTCAGGAAATGGAAAACCACAGGCACAGTTCAAGTTTAGGCTCGAAGTGGCAGACCAAGGAAAATCACGGATAAACAGAAGCGAAGAATGGTTAGAACAGTCAAAGTCAACCCACAGGCCAGCACCAAAGACATACAACATGATCTTGCTGCAGATAGAGTCAGTGTGCCTCGTACAACTATTGCGCGCACTTTACACAAGGAGATGCTGATGCTGGAGAAGCCTTTTCTCCGCCCACATCACAAACAAAGCCACTTGAGGTATGCTAAAGCACATTTAGACAAGTTGGAATAAGGTGCTGTGGACTAATGAAACTAAAATTGAGTTATTTGGACATAACAAGGCGTCATGCATGGAGGAAAAACAACACAGCATTTAAAAGAAAAACACCTGCTGCCTACAGTAAAATTTGGTGGTGGTTCCATCCTGCTGTGGGCCTGTGTGGCCAGTGCAGGGACTGGGAATCTTGTTAAAGTTGAGGGACGCATGGATTCCACCAAATATCAGCAGATTCTGGAGACCAATGTCCAGGAATCAGTGACAAGGCTGAAGCTGCGCCGGGGCTGGATCTTTCAACAGGACAATGACCCTAAACACTGCTCAAAATCTACTAAGGCATTCATGCAGAGGAACAAGTACAACGTTCTGGAATGGCCATCTCAGTCCCCAGACCTGAATATTATTGAAAATCTGTGGTTGACTTAAAGAGAGCTGTCCATGCTCTGAAACCATCGAACCTGAATGAATTAGAGGTGTTTTGTAAAGAGGAATGGTCCAAAATACTTCCAACCAGAATCCAGACTCTCATAGGAAGCTATAGGAAGCGTTTAGAAGCTGTTATTTCTGCAAAAGGGGGATCTACTAAATATTTAGTTGTTTTTTTTTTTGTGGTGCCCAAATTTATGCACATGCCTAATTTTGTTTAAACAATTATTGCACACTTCCTGTAAATGTTATAAACTTCATTTCACTTCTCAAATATCACTGTGTTTGTCTCCTATATCATATATTTAACTGATTTTTTTTATCCTAAGAACCAACGATTTATGAAGGAAAATCATTGAAATTAACAAGGTTGCCCAAACTTTTGCAGACCACTGTAAGTATAACATACTTTATCTTAACACGTGTTAAGAAGTGTTTTCCTCATAAAAGCTGCATTGGGGTGTAGTGAGGATTCTTGTGTCCCTGCAGATATTAAGTCATTTTTCCCGGTAATTTTTTTCATGTATTCCAGCGGTTTGAGCTCACAGCTGTTGGCTGTATCATCGCTGAAATCACAAGCCGAAGCGCCGTCTGCCAGGCTTTTCCCCCTTTTATAGCTGATAAATTCGGAGTGCTCTGTGGAGCGACCCGGGCTTTATGGCTGCGTTTGCCAGGGTTATTTCACAGCTGACGTCTGTAATGATTGCTTTGTCTTTTGCTCAGGTCGAGCATCCTGTCAGGATGGTACAGCATCCTCATAGGGGGAGAAATGGTACAATGATACAGTTACAGCAGACATGCTTCTTTTAGAAATTTAAAATGTCATTTCATTAGTTTAATTAATTTAATTTATGTCTTCAGAGTTTTTCACCAAAAAAATGCATCCTATACAAAGAGTATTATAATTTTTCGACCTTTTTGGCACTTCATTTTTAAATAAAAGGCATTTTTATATAAACATAAGGTAATGTGATGCACTTGTACCAATCCCCCACCCCCCCCGTATGGAAAATGGATGGATGGATTGATAGTTATTCCCACAAATCCCCACCTTTCTTTAGGTTTCGTATGTCTTGAAACTGAACATGCAAACCACTGACATCTGGGGGAATTTAGTTTTTTCTCCACATGTGTAAATAGAGGCCTGTCAGGAACCCGTGTACATATGTATAAAAGCAACTTGTCACCAAAAACAAAAAGGCTCAATTGGTGCTTATGTCCGGGTGTATGAGTCCATCTGAAAATCAGAGCCCAGAGGAAACGGTCACATGTCTCCTAATATCTCCAAAGTGATGGCTCCTTTGTGATTGAGGTTGGGAGTCACCCACCTTATAGTTGCGGCAGGTGGGGTTGAAGGCGTTGGTGCCGCAGGCGAACAGAGTCTCGTCGTTCCGGGGGACCAGCACTTTGATGTAGTTGTAACATTCGTCCTGTCAGCAGGGACACAGCTCGGTGTTATTCGGTATTATACAATCAAAGCAGGAGGTGGATGCTGGCGTTTTCCAAACACTAGATCCCCCCCTCCTCCCCTTTTACAATCATTAACTGTGATCCCAGGTTGATTCTCGTGATTCCACTGCAGCTCAGTATGAGACCACTGATGCCATACTGTTGTTCTCATAAGCTTCTCACGCACATTTTTCTTTTTCTTATTGCAATACTTCACAGAGCGGGGGGGGGAAAGAATTAATAAAATAATCAAAATAAATGGCCAAAAGCAGATGGCAGGAAGAGTAAAGCCGAGAGCTCAAAGTGAGAGCTGAAGATGTGCTTTTGGGAGATGATACTCACGCTGTTTTTTCCCCTCACGGTGCACTTCTCCACATCCTTCGTCTTCCAAGTCAGTTTCTGTAATAAAAAAAAAAAGGAAAAAGACGGTCGAGTGTCACTCAAAGACAACATTTCGGCTTCTGTTGCTCCCAGTTATTCAAGTGATATTACGGGACAGCTGTGATAGAAAAAATCTCATTAATTCCAATAAAACTGTTGTGGAGGAAAAACAAATAAACAGAAGCATCGGGGGCAGCCTGCGGCTCATCTGCGGGCAGCCCAACACTGGCTCCTCAGAGATAAGAATCACTCTGGAAGATAAGTGTCGGTGCACACAAAGAGGAAACAAAAGGACAACAAAAGGCTTTATTCCATCCCTTTGCTGCCTGCATGAGAAAGAGTCAATTAGCCCCAATTAACCTGCTGGCCAAAAACACACGACAGCGAGACGTCACGCCGATGTGGCCGTTTCAGGAAAAGATCCATCCATTTTTTTTACATCAAGCTTTGACGAATGGAAGATTAATATCCTCTGTGGGCTAATTCTTGGACAAAACTTCCCATACCACTGGGAACCCTGGCAGTTATGTACACATCTGTTTCCCTTCAGCTTCTCTTTCTTAGCATCTCACAACAATGGCAGATAAGACACAAGCTCAACGTCTCACTCAGCAACATGATGGGATGTATTCAGAAAGAATTCGAGCATTAGCAGAGCTTAGGAAATCTTTGGTTGGGAATTTATTTTCTTTTTTTTTGTTTTTCTCCTCTTAAAGCAGCATTTTCCGCACACCTGTACATTTATTCTGAGGCATTATGTGCTTATTTTTTTATAGTAAGAACAGTCATTTAATTTGATAAATAAGGAATTATTAAAAACTTGTATACATAAGCCTGTTTGTTATAATAATTATCGGATATAAAAAGATGAAACTCGCACACAGATCAAAGAAACAGCTCAATATATTACATGCAGAAATAATTACATACACATTTTGATCCTTAATGGAGATTAGGTTTGATTTTCTTGAGCGTCACCTCCATTAAGCGTCACCATCTGACAGGCTCCATTTATTTTTCTAAAAAAAACTAGTTTTTAATCTCGTTATATAGGGTTCAGTCCGGGAAGAATAAAAAAAATCCGAAAAATTCTACTCAACCATCTTTCATGCTTAGATATATTTAATTCCTGTCAATTTTTCCCTTTATATGACACGCAAATTCTGCACAAAATATCACAGACAATACCCCTGATCCAGATCCTCGCTTGTGATTTTCTTTGTTTGGAACATCTCGTGACCAACTTTTTGAAGATATGACACAATTTAGTAGGAGTCAGCGTTATGCTAATGAGCCTCGCCTCATCAACGCTCCATTTAGTTTACTTATTACTATGGTCCCCAGGCCGGAGGAGTTCAGTGAAGGAAAGGATGTGAACGGAAAAAATGAAGAGCCGGTTTAAAATGAGCCGGCACGGAGGAATGGATTTGTGATGAGGAGGACACACCATTTTCTGGTGATATAAGCCAGTCACACACTAATGATCAAACTTAGATGGATGGCAGGAAAAGCAGATTGAGAAGAAGAATAAGCAAAATAGTCTTACAATTTTCCACTCATTTCTTTCTGTCATTGTGGAGGCGAGAGAGTGGATGAAAAAATCATGCTCATGCATTCAGTATTTAGGTTCTTATATAACAATCGAACACTGAAGTGCTTAGAAGTTCCCATTTCTTTGTGCCACATTGTACACCCGAATCAATAGCTTAGATCTCCTTGACATGGAGTGGTGGCCTTATCAGACTGAAAATCTGTGTTGGGCGCCAATCTAAATACAAGCAAACAAAAGTCCAGACCTCACGGGGCTTTTATTTAAGTGCAATCGTGTTTTGACAAATGAGATTCAGATTGAAGGGGGCACGGCACTTCAAAAAAACAAAACAAAAAAAACACAACGAGAGCACCGCTCCACTTGTGGTGGATGTATGTCTGAAGAGAGATTGCTTAATACTTGAGTGAAAAGGCAGGCAAAAGGGTAGGAAGCAAAATAATGAGAACCAAACATCAGAGGAGGTTTCTTTCTGTATAAACACAGTGAAGACCAGAGAGAAATGAGATAGGAAACGCCATACAAGGAGCACAGATTGCACCAACATTGCATTAAAGTCTTTAAAATTGGTTTAGCTCCATTTAAATTGATGGCATACAATCCAGACACGAATGATTAAAAATCTGCCGACCAAAGCGAGACTCGTCCGTTCGCTGAATGTGTTATGACCACAGGATCCTAAAACATATTCAACTCCACAGCAAAAAAGTGGTCAAATAAGCCTTGTAACTCAGATTATTTGTATTGACTCTGAAGATTTGGAGGATCAAATGCTTAAATGTCAAAGTCGAAGAGAAAACATTAAGGAATTACAGGACTTGTGATGAACCTAAAAGTAAAATGAAAAATAAAAAAACACGGCACCCCGATGGCAGCGGCAACGCATAAATAGATTTTTTTATACCTGTTGAGGGATTATCTGCTCAGACGAAGTGGCGAGGTTGATTGCAAACACATGGTCCCTGCAGGAAAAGAGGAGAGACATTAGCAGGGCCTCTGCACACGTCTTCTTATTCAACCTTGATGCTTTTTAGATGCAAACACGAATAGAAACCTTCATGCTTTTCTGATATAATCATTCCACTGCCACAACCCCCCTGCACACACGCGCTAATAAAAAAAAAGCAAAAAAAAAAGCTTTGATTTCAGTCAGCATTATTGATCGCAGCTGTTCAACAACACAGGCTGCAAGGTGGATTAGCAGGAAAGATTTATTGGCTTTTTTGGCTTTAGGACCTCACAAAAGTTTTCCAACTATTGACCAGACCCATATGAATCACTTTGCGAAGCGAGGCGTGCACTTTGTTGTACGCGGCTGTGGAAAATATTAGGCCACTTTACGTACATTAAAACTCTCCGTACCTTTTTGAGTGGGGTTTCTGGCAGAGGGAGAGCGGCAGTTTGGGGCTGAGCCAAAAAAACTGAGGCGGAGTGTATTTTGCTCAGTTAAAGGAGGCAAAGAAGGTGCAACATTGTGCTTTAAAGAAAATTACCCCGTGACCTCTTGATCGAGAGAGGAACATGTGAAGTTATGCAGAGATGCGGTATTAAAAACTCCAGCAGGTTAGCTCCGACTCCACACACGAGAGTAGGTTGATGAGGTGGTTTTGTTCGAGATTAGCTAACCCTACCTTTCACATTAAGTCTTTGAAGTACAGTTTATGTAATTTTGTTCATATATTCCTAATTTTTCCATTAAGGAACACTCCAGCCATTTGTTTTAAAAAAAATATTGCGACTCATTGGCCCAAACATGCATAAAAAAGTGTAAAAATCTCTCTTTTGTACTTAAAAAAAAAAGAGTTTAACTAAACTTTGTGGTGAATTTCCTAATAACATGTTTTTTGTTAACTGGTTGTTTTCTTCGAATTTGAACTAATATTATACTATACATCATCCATTTACCTTATTTCTGCTAACCTGGAAAATCGTAATTAAAGGAGAATAGAGCTCTTGGAATCAGTTAAATACCAGGTTAATTTTCTTAAAAACATATTAAAGGTTTATTTGCAGGAATGTTGGGGTGATAAACGTCAGCATTACTGGATATCACTAATAAAAACCCACTAATGCTGATTGATGATGTAAAAAATGTCATCTTTGGGTTGAGCTGTGACTGACCGGGCTGCGATGTAGAGCATGTGGTTGATCCTCAGCATCCTCTGGAAGTCCAAACCCAGCCGAACTGTGTCATTGTCCGACATGAGTCCCTGGAAGCTGGGGTACACATACGAGGCTGCATGGGGTCAAAAATAGAGAAAACAAGAAATGAATAAAGTAAAGCAAGGGATAACTCTTCACCACATCTGTGTGGAGACACTAAGAAAACTTCCCTTTCCTTTTTTTTTTTGGTGTAAACTTTGAGTTTGACACGAGATAGCGAGACTGTGAGTTGAAAATAAACTAAAAATGAAAGGAAGCAGTTTTGTCGCTTTGTTGTCGAGTCTCATCCACCAACAAACACATGCTTGTCAAGAGTTACAATCACACAAAGGCAGCTGTACGAAATGGCAGCGCGTTTATCCACAGAATGATTTGCGTTTGACGAAACACCATCCAAAAGGTTACAATCTGGTCTATTATGCTAAAATAAAATTAAGCATACGCAATATGCTAATGTGCACTTGTGGAGGTGGCCGAGTTAAAAAAAAAGACAGCTTCCCAAGTTGCAAATGAGGCAGTCATGCCACAGAAGTCGTTCTGATTTAAATAAAGTGACTCTTGGTAAACACTTCGGAGCAGACACATCTGGGGACGGTGCCAAGTGGGGACAATATTAAAAAAAAAACATTTCAGCGGAGAGTCGCCTGGGTCAACACTTATTCAATTAGCAATAATCTGTTTCAGGTCGCAAAAGTTCAGCTTTGAGTTTTCACAAAAGCTATTTGAATAGCTACACTTTGCAATAAATGTCCAAATCCATTAAAGAAAAGGAAAAAGTTTGCCATTTCATATTAACCCAGAACTCGTGGATATAAACAAGTGTGTACAGGTACACAGAAATTATTAGACAGGCGCTGAACTTAGTGCGATGCGTATTTCTAATTCCCCTCCTCTGTGAACAAATGAATCTTTCCCTAAAAACTGTGATTTAAACAAAAGGCAGCAAAATGGCGTCAGTTCAGCGGACTGAAACGCTGTCCTAATAATCTTAAAAATAACAACAATAATGATAATTATAGAAAGAGCAGCGTGCTCCCTTGACTGCTGGTCTTAAATGGGCTGTTTAAAGATTTAAACCTCTAATGTGTGCTGGACCTTGCTGTGCTTTCAGGCACCAGGGCTCCCTCCCCCTCAACTGGACGCCCTGCTGGCCTGCCCCTGGCCAACGAGCATTTCTAATTACTCTCCAGCTACTTCACATCCTCTGTCGTTCAGTGGCTGCTTGGGGAAAAAAAGTAAGGAGGATGGGACGTGATGGCTTTCATGGTTCAGACGGTATCTATGTCCGCGCAGCCCATTATGCAGACGTCAAGCTAATGACCTGGTCAACACAAACAGTGACATAATGGCCGTGTCCGGTAAAGGAGACGGCAAAATAACGTCACGTCTCACAGTTTCAAGCACCGTTGGGGATCACTTAACTGCACAAAAGCAATTACAAGTCCTCCAACAATGAAAAGAAGATGATACGAAGCATAATTCACTCATCAAACTTCACGAAGCGGTTTTGTGGGAAAATGACCAGACGAAAGTCGAAAAGTTGAAGGCGTTTCTACCTGCCGTCCAACAGCAATCGAGTAAATACGGAGCGCGGAGTGTGTGCACGCTCAGAATGCAGTGTCTAAGAGTGTTGCCCCTCACGACGGTCTGGACACACGGACCGCGTAGAGACGGTTGCGTGACCCTTATCCGGGGACGAGGCACTGAGGTCTGATTTCCCAGACTTCAACCTGACAAAGTACGACCATTCATTATGGACGTGTCGCGGAGTTGTGAGGGACCTTGTGCCACGTTGTCACCAGCGAGAACCGGTGGTGACAAATTGCTCTCATTACACCTGGGATGGGGGTCCACATATAGCACTATTAGCACAGCTATTTCTGCTAATGGCTGCGTTCCTCCCCTCCAGATAGATCAATTACAGTGTGTGGACCATGGTCTCGGCCACCTCTTAAATCAATTATGGGCCATTATAGTTAGCAGCCAAGGCCTCACCTATAGGCCTCCCTGGTGATGGGCCCGGTGAGGCATTGTGTTAAAGACGCTGAAGTCCTGGGTCAAAACCCGAATTCACGTTTTTCGCGTTGCTGGGGCGCTTGGCAAAAAATTTGGCATCATATTTCCATAACTGTGATTGTTAGGCCAAATGAGGGATACCACACACAGTCAACCACACAGGAATTAGATTAGTTCTTAACCATCTTTGCTTTCTAATTCTCAGAGGTGCAGTTGCTAGCTGTCAAAATCCTTGTTTTTATTAAGAGTTTTCCATCAGATTTATGCTGCCTCAAACATTGAGATGGTTGTTATGACTCACTGCGCTGCACGGTTAAAAGGAAAACGATTCCAAGACCCAAGCTTTTCTATGACATTTGCACAGGATCTCGTGTGCTGCGGTTTTAAGACCTGCAGCTGGTCCAAATAAAGGAAAAAACAAAGAATCAGACGTGGTTCATACCATGTTGTTCTAATACACTGGTTGTTTTGCGAGAGGCTCCGGGTTCATGCCCCAGACAAGCCTCTATTTGTGTTCTGACCTGGCTCACGCACTGAAGAAAAACAAAGAAGACTGAGCATCCTGGGAAAGCCCCGACAGGGACGCTTTTTTTACCAGATTATTACAGGTGTTGTCAATCAAGACAAAAAGCTCATTTAGCATGCACACGTTTTGGGCATTTTGGGCATTATCCATTGGAAAAAACCCCAAAAAGAACTATATATTTAGTAAAGAAGAGTTTTCCCCTTCATTTTCCCTACAAAAAAACACAGTAAACAACCGAAAAAATATAAGTCCTGCACTGACAGGTAACAAGACATGGCTCTCATTATTTCCTGAACCACCAGTCTTAACAATGCAAAGGTGTTTGCTGTCATGCGTGATCTCACTTAACTTGCTAAATAGTGAAGTATGAGCACAGCTTCTCTGACTGCAGCGGCAGCCCATGATCTCATTACAGCCGTCTGTCCCTCAACGTGTGGGTGATGCAGCTCGCTTAAGGACAACAGAGACATTTCTCTTGGAATTCTCCTGCATTCTGAGAGTTGTTCGCTAACCGGAGGTTTGATCGGGTCTCGTCCAAAACCGGCAGCGTGTTTCAGTGCGACAGAGAGTTTGATGTCTCTGTTTCTTCGATAAAGTTAGCTAAACAAAAAAAGGGAAAGCAGTACACGATGTGAGGCCAAACCATAAATCTAACTGGACCATAACAAAAGAATGAGAAAACAAAAAGTCGACACAGTTTCGATTCATTCTACGAACTGTCATTTTCCAAAAGTTTTGTTTCCTAAAATTGGAAGTCAAATTTGACAAGACGACAAGGGAAAAAAAAAAGAAGCTTTTTCATACAAATCTTGTGTGCGCCTGGATCAAATTCTAGCTCTGCCCCTGCAAGGCCAGCAGAGATGCAAAGATGAGTAACTAACTAGTCATTCGTTTGACAGATTGGGATGTGGATTCGGCTCTACAACTAATCTCAGAAAAACACAGTCGCGCTGAAAGCTCTCATACGGGCCCAGACAAACCAATCCACCTCTTTTGTCTGCAAAATTGCAAATGACGTTTGCGCCCAAGTTCTGACTTCACCTTATGCGTGATGTTGCAAGATGAAACCGACTTTTCACAGCGAGAATACAAAACTGAAGAGTTCTATAAATGCCAAAAAAACCTCCAACAATCTCACTTTCTGCAAACGTGGCCTTAAACGTCCAACATCACTAAATCCTGTTTCCCCGGCGGTGGGGTGTAATACCTCTGTGACACCAGCCCTTGTTAAACATGTGCTCCTGCAGCACGGATCGCCATGGCAACACAACAGATCTTGAACTTACATTCCCTGCCAATGACGCTGATCGGTTCCAGGTCCTGCGGGAACGGGGTGACTCCCGAGGCCGGCTGAGGTAAAAAGGCCACTAAGGTGAGGGCCAGGAAGGCCGGCAGGATGGGCGGAGGCGATCCGGGCACCGGCCTCATTTTCGGTGGGAGATGAGACCTCACCAGAAGCGCATGGCCCGCGGCACACACATCCAAGCCACCTGAAACGAGACAAAAAAAGGCCACGTGGGTTAGAACTGTTATTAAATCTCACACCCCTCAATGTTATCCACATGACACAGAGCTAATAAGATTTATTAATCCCATTTTTGGCCATATTGTGCTGATGTTTTTTTTTTTTTTAAATATAATTTCCTGAATTAAAGAGCAGCGAGTACATTACAGAACAATGAGAGCAGCAATCTAGAAAGATGGCAAGTAAAACTCTTATTAGCATGCAGTGCCGCGCGTCAATGCGGCGATGTGATTGAGTAGCTGCTGAACCAGTGTGATGAGAGAGCAAACGGACATAAAAAAAAAAAAAAGGGAGCGACACCGATGCAGGAAAGGAGGCCCTGACCCCCAGAACGCCGGCCACATCGCCTAGCCACCTACGTCTAGCTGCCGACATGATCGGGTGCACAGTTTCCATGTCACCGTCCTGGCGACGGTGTCAATAAGTGAGGTTGGGGCTTTATGCATGTCTGATATGTAGAGAATTAAAATAGGATAAGCATCAACTTGTCATTCGCGCACCACCTTGGAATAATAAAAGAAAATAAAACTTGTGACTTGCACATAGCAGCACTGATGAAGACTGGATGAGCAACAAAAGGCTAACTTGGTCAAAATGGACCCTGACAGGAAAAGTTTATTTAGCACTTCGATCAACAGCTCGTCCTAAAACTCACATTAAAAACTTTAAAATTTTCGAGTTCAAGAAGAGGATTAAAGAAAAAAAAAAGCTTCATTTACATGTCAAAATCTTTTATCTGAATCTTGATCAGTGCTAAAATGCAAAAGCGAAGAGGCATATAAGGCCAGGCAAGTTCACAGGGCCAAATGCGTTTGTTTTTTTATGCGCTGCTTTAGTTACGGTGAGATCCTCTTACCGTTTCCAAATCATATATCAGAGCCAGTTACTGAAACTCTGTTCCGCCGCAAACTTTGTCGGTCGCGTTATTGCTGTGCCTCTCTGCAATAACAAAGTAACGCGTTAATAGTGTGACGAGCCTGCCGGGGAAAAGCTCGGAGGATTAGAGGAGGTGTTTGTGTGCAGCATGGAGAGGAAAACACAGCACGCTGCGGCATTTGTGTCCATGGAAGACGATCAGGAGATGACGGAAAACAGCGGTGTGGTCACAGCATGAAGGTTTCCGGTTCGAATCTTGAGGACTGAGGATGGAATCTCCCTAACATTTATATACCAGGTGGGCTCTCAAGAAATGGAGAGTGTGGTATTTGAAGCGGCATTGATCTCAGTACTCAGAAGTGCTTGAATCCCATCCAGGAACCATGAGTTGACCCTGGCCGTCAAATGCAAAACGGGGCATTTGAGAAACTTTCCCAAAAGCGGATCCCTGCTTTGCTAAATATATGCAGCCGGTTTGTTTTGACAGGAATGATTACAAACCACACAGAGAAGATAGGATAAGAAAGAAGTCAGACACAAAAACACCACATTGAATAGAATTATTAATAATAAATGTGTCATTAATTCGTGGTGATGGAGTAGGTCGTCGGTTCCCAAAAGATGCCACAATAATCCTGCCGTTCAGTTTGATACACGCCTTCCTTTTATCAGGGGGCTTAAACTGCGACTCAACATAAACATAATTTATTTCACACTGTGTTGATATCGCATTTCTCCATTGCATTCCATTGCACAAACTTTTATTTCTCATAAATGTGCTTTTAATGAAAAAGAGACAGATATGATGAGCTAAAGTCTGCTGGAGGATTTTAATATTGGACGATGACAGGTTCAGCTGTTATCAAACAGACATCACTTATACATATAACATAGAAATGAGCTTGAATGCTTCAACCTAAGAATGATTGGGTTAAGTTCCACAGCCAAAATGACTTCAGCTTACAGTGTAAAGCTTGCATCCAGAGGCGCCTGATCTAATAAAAAGAGAACAAAAAGGGGTTCTGATCAGCTGCAACATGTACTCCAAGATTTCCTGACTGAGAAACGAGTCTGAGATGATGTATGAATGATGTATGAACGGCCACGTTTATGGGAAAAATCGAGGAAATGGATGGACGAAAGAAATATTTGTCAAAACCATGCTCTCTCAGCACGTTTACTGAGGGCAACGCGTCCTCCGCGTGGCTTCTCAGAAGCCCTCCAGAGTTTATGCTCAGCGTTGCCTGGCAATGAGATTTGGACGTTGCAGTTTTTAAGTGGGAGCGGAAAATTAAGTCAAAAGACACGAACCGTTATTGGGAGTGAGGACGGCCGGCCTCATTTGAAATGCAGGGGAGAGACTGCATTTAGCGATGAGGTCAAACTATCATCACAGTGCCATAAACTAATGGAAGTGGGGGAAGATTCTGCCCGTGTTTACTTTGTGAATTACAATAGCTTGTGGGCCTGCCTTTTGGCAGTACACAGGGACGATATACCTGATGGATTGGCGCTATATGCATTGATTTGGCTCTTTTCCCTGCCTGGGAGGACAGTCATTTCCCCTAAAACATTATGCGACCGTGGTTTTGCTCAAGAGGATAAATCAATGAGAAAAATCTCTTAAAATGTCAACAACATTCAGAGATAAGTTGGGGTTATGTGCATGGTTAAACTACGTTGAAATGTCAAAAGATCTATATGACAAACTCACTTCTGTTATGAATATGTACAAGCAGTCAACCAAAAAAACATAAGCGGCCCCCGTCCAGGAAACATTATATCCCGGCGAGGAAGGAAGGCAGACATTATTTATTGACAAGCTACTTAGCTAAAGGGAGGCAGCCAGCAGAGTGTGATGATGATGCATGCAAAACAAGAAAACCAAAGTGAGTACAAGAGCTTATGCAAGACCTGTCATATCCTCTGAAACTCAAGCTAACGGCGCTTGAACGAGGCAGTCCACTCAGGCCGGGCAGTCCATATTGAGGACTTCATGGGGATGCTCCTGAGCCCGGGCTGGAGATATTTGTCAAGCTCCACAGCTTCAAAGAGCTCACTTTAAACCGGGAAACTGTAAAACGGCGTGTCAAGAATGTTCTTTTGGAGACAGAGATAGTACGACCTGATGCACGCAAAGACGGATATCGATACCGACAGGATGGAGCAAAAAAAAAAAAAAAAAAGCAGCTCTTTTTAGCTACTTGTTCCTGCAGAGCTAGTTTGTGTGAAACATTATGGTTTGGGTCACATAAACCGGATAACGGGTCGAAAAAGGAAGCGGGCTGTAGAAAAAAAGAGTATTGACGATATTAAACGAAACTGTCAGGTGGAATCCTCCACATTTTAAGTGTGAAAGACAGAGAAATCAGCTTTAGAACAGCGATTTCCTCTGTTGTTTAACTCCAGTTTAGCATGCAATGCAAGAGATGAACATCTTCATATGACAAATGTTTAGCTTTCATTGCTCAGTCATCATTTATAAATGCAAATGAAAAACATCTAACCAAACTTTTCTTTTCTTTCATTTTTTCATTTTAGCATTTACACAGAAACTGAGTCGGGTTGTCATTATAACACACTATCTGTGGCCCTGCGTTGATCATAGTTTAGATCCCTGCTGATATATTCAGCAAAGTCTTGACGTTTGAAATAAACCCAAAACATGCAGCAAGCAGCCGAGTGATTAGACGCTTAAACAGACGCTTAAATAAACAGTTGAGCTTCCAATCTAGCAATCTCTGTGTCCAGCCTCGACGAAACGGCTGCTTATCAGGTCTGACCTTTAAGGTACGAATGGACGAAGCAAACCACATCATCTGCCTGCAGAGCTCCCACATTTACCTGCCATGTAAACACATCAGCGCAACAACCCCCGCCGGATTTCTAAACTCTTTTAATTCCCCCTAACAGACAGTCGATCAGTTAATGGCTGTGTGTCTGAAGAGGGAGTGGATGGCTGATGAGCTGACAGCCGTCGAAGGGAAATAAGCCGCTGCTTATCCCGTCCCGTGTTTACTCTCCCTGTTCTGGGGTTTGGAAAGGAGGGCCTGGATAATTTTGTTTTTAATGAACTGGACTTGCTAAGCCATCTGGGAGACTTGGACCTCCTCGGGGCACAGAGGTTTCCGGGACGCTTGGGAACCTCATTGATTATCTGACTTTCACTTGGATTAGTGAACAGCCCCATGTCTTTCGACTGATATAAGGCCCCCGCACATTTCACTCCTTTTTACAGCACAAGGAAAAGTAAATCATAAACGGTTAGCTAGCTTAGAAGAGGTAAAATTTCAGTCGATTCTTACACATCACAGTTCCCATATAGCCTAAGATAGCTTTCTGGTGAAACAAAAATGTTAAAATCCAAATTCCACATTTATCTTCAATCGACAGGATTGGATTTAATGCACCCATCAACACTGGCACACCTGTTTTATGCCAGCAACACACAGCTAAAATGCAGGCGGGGTTGTACTGCAGTGTTTTCGCTTACTATCCCGGTGCTTTATCGCTTGGACAGCTAATCCGGGAAATTCTGATGGCTGCAGAACGTTCCTCTTACACCTGAGCACATGGATATCTCAGAACCCTTTGGCTGTTAAAATGTTTCGAAGCCACAGTGTCCTCCACTCTGACATATCTGCGATCCGCGCTGGTCAGCAAAACGAGCGAGCAGATCCCCCCCCCCCCCGGCTCCGATAATTTCAGACATAATTAGGCACATTAGCCTCCGCTCTCAGCAGGCCACCACAAAATAGGCTTATTTGCAGGGTGCTGTAATAACAGCGGGAATATGGCAACTGGATGATGAGTCAAATGCAGAGTATGTTTGAGGACACAGTATTTAAGCCTGATGATTGAATTAAAGCTGCAAGGGCGACATTTCAGATTCAAGACCAAAAAAAGGGCAAAACAAACCCTGCTTGTTCAATACAAGAAGAGATGTAATGTAATACACAGAAGACCACATATGGTTATGAGTTTCCAATAACGTCTGTGTGGCACCACTTATAACTCCATTAATTGGCTCCAACGTGCTTCTTAGTGGTATAAATACCGTCACAGATTTTAAAAAGACATAGCAAACATTAAGTATTGCGTTACCATTAACGATTAACATGGGTGTGTAAAGTTATCTGGCTGTCTTTTTGCAGGTCCCATGTAATCCTGTTATTGCCTGGCTGCCTGCTACTTGTTGTCAAAACAACCACATGGGAGCTGTAATGTGACAGGAGGAAAAACAGCACATGATTTAGATGGTCCATGTTGAGACAAACATCTCATTGTTAGGTCCTGAGCCATATCGTCCCTCCTCAATCTCCTTTTGGAAAGTTCATCCTACCGCCACGCTAACTGCAGTCCCATGACACCAATCGCACATCTCATACCCATCTGAGCTGAGTTGTTTTCCTCCGACACTCCCATCCCTCTCTGGTTCAGGTATACCACCACAGACTCTCGCAGCTTACGTTAAAACATGACGGATGAGGTGAAAAACGTAATTTCCCAGAGGTGCGTAT